TTTTCAATAATAAAGGAACAATGAATTAATACTATGTTTGACAGTCCTTCAATTGTCTTTTAAAGGACATTTCTATTTTCCTTTTAACTATTTGCAAAAGAAAACCTCACCAAAATAAGTCTCGATGAACATTGCTGAATGTGATCTGGAGGTTTAACACAAAGTGAGCCCACCTGAAGTGTTGGTAACAGACAGCACAACTCGGCGGATGTTCAGTAAACTTAGGAATTTAAATCTGTAAACTGCGATGGATGTTTACAACGAACAGTTTGGGTAATAATTTCATCGTTTTTGGTCCGGTTCTGAGTGAGAGCACTGCAGCAAGTAATTTTGTAACGTCAAAAAATGTCCATTTAAAAAGTGCTTGTTTTTGCCTCTGACTGGTTATTAAAAGTGTCTGACATCATTAAGGGAAGGACCCTACAGAAAAACATCTCTATCTTTCACTTGATCTGGTCTGTGGGATCGCCTCTGTGGGCAGAGGGTCACAGCACCCACTCTCTTAAACTTCACAGCAGCTGCTTCCCCCTCCCTCCATATACGTATACGCAGCCACCGAATTCAAAGGCCTCATCCAAGTCAGCTAAATAATCAGCCATGACATTGAAAATCTTAACACTAAGCTGTTCTTTCTGTACTCCAACACAACAAACCTTTTCCCGGCTGTGAAAATGTCACCTCACCTCCCCCCCGAGATTTCAGAACAACAAGACTCCTTGAGCGAGACCTGGGAAGGCACACAGCAGATCCAGTGAAAGGAACAGAAAACGTTTCATTTCTCTGTAGAGTTGTGTTGTCGGACACTTATATTAACAATCTGAGCTGATCAGCAGCAAAAACAAGAACCTTAAATGGACATTTTGACGGTACACGACTGCCTGTAAGGATTTCATTGTGGCCTGTAACGTTCTCACTCAAAACTGGACCAAATTTAAAACTTGTTGTCCCCATTTGTCACTTTGATGCAAAAAAAACGTGGAATAAAGTCCACGTTGAAAAATAATGAAGTTACCCTTCGAGTAGTCAGAGCTAGAAACCAGAAGAGCCTTGCATGTGGTCTCTGTCTGCTTATCTCATCTAAGATTTAATGAACTCGTCCCAGAACTGTTGGAGCAGATTTAAGAGTATCACACACGTTTATTTCTATAAAAATAACTGAGATGGATTAATACCTCAGTGACAAATACAGAACATTTTATCATTGGTGCAGTTGTTTCCCCTCTCTGGTTCAGTAGGAACATGTGACGACGGGGAGAGGCACCA